ACTCCTGCAGATCTAAGCACCTCAACCTCCGTCGGCTCTCCCTCAGACTCACCGAACCAGTGCGCAATCAAGGTATCCAGTTTGACCCCCAGCTGTCCTTCCTCCCCCACATCCGATCCCCGACCAGGACCTTCTTCCACCTCTGCCACATTGCCCACCTCCAACCGTACCTTACCCCAAATGCAGCCGAAACCCTCGTGCATGCGTTTGTCACCTCCCGCCTGGATTACTCAAACACACTCCTCGCTGGTCTCCCCAGCTCCACTATTCAAAAGATCCAACTTATTCAGAACTCTGCCGCCCGCATACTGACCCGGACCAAACTCTGTACCCACATCTCACCAGTTCTGGCCAGGCTCCACTGGCTTCCCGAATGGATCGACTTCGGATCGATCCTTACACTCGTGTTCAAATCCCTTCACTCTCTGGCACCTCCCTACCTCTCCGACCTCCTCACTCCTCAGTCCACTACCCGGCGCCTCCGCTCGACTGGCACCGGCTTCCTGCTCGTCCCTCGCACCTTCCACCCCACCAACGGAGGTCGCGCTTTCAGCCACTTGGCCCCAAAACGCAGGAACACTCTCCTTCAATCCCTCCGCCTTGCCCTCATTCCCCGCTTTCAAGTCCCGCCTGAAAACTTCCCTTCCAACTGTGCTTAGGCCACCTCCCCCCTCCCCCCGGCTCAGAGTCAGGCTCCGCCACTGTTAAGCGCCCTGAGACGCTACCCTGTGTGGAGGGCGCTATGTAAGTGCAAGTTGTCATTGTTTTCAAATGATTGTACAAAGGTTTGTCAAATACATTTTTCCTGAGGTAGGAAATGTATAACAAATAGCAAATCCTTCATTCTCAGTTTTTAAAAATTATAAATGTAACATTGATAGAAAAATATTGTCCTCTCCAAAGGATAATGCTAGGAAAGTTTCAAAAATAGCACTCACAAATACCTTATGATTTCTCTGTTCAAGTTCATTCTGCTGTATATAGCACTTGCACAGGAAATCATTGAGGGTTCTGAATGTGTAGACACCAGGCTGACCAAAAACAATTTGTGCATCAAACTGAATGCATCCTTTAAATTGCTATCCAAGTAATGTTACTACAAAACTGTATTATATTTGATTTCTCTCATGAATATGTCCAAATGCTTTTGGGCAAAATTGACAAGAAATGTAATTCAAAAACATCTCCAAATCCCTGCTGCCACTGCATTTCTCCTGTCATGATTGATTGCAATGAGCTGCATTCTATCACTATGGTAACAGCGAGGCTCTTTTAAGTTGCAAACCTAATCACACTTCCTGGCTGTTTTCTGTGTGACATACATGGGAATTGACAAAACTTAATTTGGTGGCCTAAATTCCAACAAGTCAAATTAGTATGCAAATTGATCGGAACAATTTTTTCACCTTAAAATGGCATCTTGAACAATTTATTCATTTTCTGAATCTATAAGACTAGATTTAAAATGTATTGTCCTCATTAAGTTTTTTCTGACTTCTGTTTGTCTTTTATGTTAGATTTTAAGTCAATATGTGTGTTTTATTTCTATTTCTACCTTTTCTTTTTGGCACAAAGCCGTCTTAGTAACCTTAGGATGGATTCTGAATCCATCTGCAAAGTTCTGTACAACTCCATTTATCAGTTACTGTCATTTTGACAGATTACCTGGTTGGTGCTGGCTCACAGATTCAAGGCACATATTTACTGATTTCTCAGAACCTGGTCAAGAGAAAACACGATGCACAAGGGACCAAATAAAAATGAGCTGGTTGCCTTTTTTCCTGTATTTTTCTATCTGTACTGTGTGATTGCTTAAACTTAAAGCATTGTTTCCCCATATATCTGCAATGTGTGCATGTTTGTCTCAGCACTGCTGTCTGTATAACAATGATCGGTTATTTTAGATATCAGTGGACCTTCTCCTGTCATCACTACCTTGTAGATCTATTATAACAAGAATATTTGTCAACAGATATTTGATTGTAACTTGCAGTACTTCGCCTTCCAATACTTTACCTAAGCGACCATGCTTCACGTGGGAGTCTGGTTAGTGAGTGCTGACAGCAGTTATTCACCTGGGAGAGGGGGGAGGCACCACAGCCAAGCTGATACCTGTCCTCATTCCTAGATCATGTATATACTTTTGCGAGGTTTCAAAATAACATGTGGCGAGATGGTGAGGAGGTGGGGTGGTGGGGATGGATGAAGCCTTATTATTCTTCTGTTTGTTACTGTTACATTAATAATACAAAGATTATTCTCTGCATTTGATATAGCAAGTATAAAGTTTCTTCCAGTGTCCTGGCCAATGCCCCAAATAAAATTTATTCCATGGCTAGTTGTGGGACATTGATGTGTGCAAATTGGCTGCCACAATCAAACATAACACATGCATCACTGCACTGTACAGTATATCTGTGCAGTGCTTTGGGACATCATCCCAATGTGAAATTAATTGTAAGAATTAGTATTAAACACCCTTCCAGTTCAGTTTGATCATTCAAATTGAACTTTGTACTTTTAGAAGAGAACTTATTCTTAACCATTTCATAAGAAACCACAGGAAGTATTACGACGGAAAAGACTGAAACTTTGCAACCAGTAATACAATGAATTGGTAAATTAATGCACTGCACCACAAATTTGTAAAATGCAAGTTTTCTAATGGAGAATTTCAATGTGGTGAATCTTTGAGAAGCTGAAGTCAGTTAGGCCTTCTAAGTGAGTGCCTGGGGAATCCCTGAACGACATCTCAGGAACTAAGCACTGATCTGGGTAACACTATCAGGCATTGCAGCTGCACCAAAGAAAGAGAAAATAAGTCGTATATAATGAGAATTTAGAAATAGGCTACCATTCCTGAGCAGGATTTTATACTGACTCATTTTAAAGTTCCAAATGGAACCTTTGACCACGGACAAATGTTAAAAGTATTTTTTCTGCTTTTTAAGAAAAAACTTTTAATGTTTTTTTCTGCATGTAGAAATGTTAATATTTTAAGCAAATACTTGAAATGGTTGACAAACATTAAGTAGATGAGAGAGAATGTTAACTAGCAACGCTCATGTACTATAACAGGTGCTTATATGATTGATAGTTTTGCATTTCCTATGCTTTTTATATTTTTTAACTGGCATGCTTTAAGGAGAACAATTAAACCAGGCTTTTTATTAGATACAAAAAAAATTACGCACATAACAGCTGGCAGGATGTCGCTGTATTTTTTAAATTCATATTGCACTGCATTGATATAGAATTTGAAATGCTATTAAGGTTCTATTTGGAGCAGCTGAAAGGAATGGGGGCATACCATGTGTATAATGTAGATGCCCAAAGGTGACATTCAGCCTTAAGTTAATGCCATCACAGGTATTATAAGCTTACATTATTATGTGTTGGATTTGTTCCTGGCAGGTACCAGACTTTGTTTGGTTTATGATTGTGTGAAGAAAACTCGTGACCCTGTGAACAAATAAAACTTGCAAAATACTTCATTAAAACAATCACCTCTTTACTTGTTTGATGCCTCTCTGTAAAAAGGATGGAATTAGAATTCTCCTTTCCTCTTCCTGAAATGGATTCACAGGTACCTTCTGGTACTTTGCACAAGTGGCAGTTGTTCATGCATGAGCCTTGCGGACCAGACTTGGCAAGCTGTCTGATCACAGGGAGCGTTACAACTGAGCCTGCTTCTGCTGTCACCTGATTCAGGCAACTCCAACGTGCCCTTCCCACATGTTAAATTCCAGTGGGGTGGGAGAGTGTCTGGATAATGATAAGATGCAGGAACGCTGTCTAATTCCCCCCGAGCCCCTCCACTGAGCAGTGCTGACACCATTTTGAGTGCCTCAAACACTACCCCGTTTAGGAACAGATAATATCACGCCAGACAGAAACCGTCCGGTGTGTATGGCTTTGGGCTACTACCGTGAGGCATTTCAAATATCTGTTGCCATGGAGAGATTTTAGTTTTAATAAGAATTCTCACATTTGATGTAGCACCTTATCAAGCCATCAAAATGTGTCCAAGCATGCTATAGAATTTGCTGTGGGTGAACATGATAGCCAATGTCAGCATAGCAATGTTCCACAAACAACCATAAAATGAATAAGCAATTTTAGATAGAGGATTGTTGTACAGGACACCAGGAGAAACTCTGTTCTCTTTTCACAATGGTATTGTGGAGTCCTGTAGCTCAGTGGTTAGAGCACTCGCCTTGCAAGCGAGACACCTGGGTTCAATTCCAGGCAGGGCGAAACCTTGGACAAGTTTCCTTACTCCACACGCCTAATAATAATCCCTCCAAAAAAACAAAACAATAATAAATTGGTCATTTTCAATCCACAATTGTTTGTGGGACGCTGCTGTGCGCAATTGGCTGCCGCGTTTCACCCACAAATATACAGTCAATTCACTTTACAACATAATCTGTGAAGCGCTTTAAGATGTCTAGAAGACGTGAAAAGCTCTACATAAAATGCAAGGATTATTATTATTATTCAGCTGGTAGTGATTTGTCTGTTGGTTTCGCTTCATATTTGTAATTTGATTCCTGACTGTTCTTCACTAGTAAAACTTGTTTAGAATACTAATGTATTAAATGCAGTAATGTCATATTCTAAACATTTTTAGGTATTTTTTGATATATTTCTAGTTAATAAAATGGTCACTTTGTGCTGAAGGAGTTTATCTGCACATCATCACTCTTATCGATCTGATCTGATCTTATGCATGTTAAATTTAGTTGAATTGCAATCTGGCTAAGAGACAATTGTCATCTTAAAGTGAAAAATAGAAGAAAATTAATGTTTGTTCGGTTTTACATTAATACTGTCCCCTGTAAAATCCAGAACTGGTGTTTATAACCCATTTGGCTAATCTAAAGATAAATGCTACAGAGAAGTACGATTCTGAGAGAATCAACAGACTAACTGTATAAAATGTAATTGAAAGGTCTTTGGTTCATTGTTGTAATCAGAATGACTGTAATTTTCTTTAGGCTTACATGGATTCAAATAAGTATATAGAAGAGTTGCTGATGCAGCTGGAAGAAGAGCAAAGGAATGTGCGGAAGTAAGTGCAATTTACAATATAAGTGTTATTTACCACAAATATTAGCACGTTTTTGAACTGACAGTCAAGGCTGACACTCCTGTGCAGTGCTGGGGGAGCACTGCATTGTACAAGGTGCCATCTTTCATTAAACCAAGGCCTCGCCTCCCTGTTCATGTGGATGTTAAAGATTCCATTGCATAATTTGAAAGGAGAAGGGAGTTTCTCCCAGTGTCCTGGCCAACAATACCCCAGATAAAATTGGCCATTCACTTCCTGACTATTTGTGGAACAGTGCTGTATGCAAATTGGCTGCCGTGTTTGCCTGTAAAATACAAAGTCATTGCACTTTACAGTAAATCCCATGAAGTGTTTTGTCCTCCTGACGTTAAAGGAGTTATATCAAATACAAGCATTGTTATTTATTATTATACAACTTAATTGGTGCTGTCTTGATCAAAACATTTGCAAACAATAATTCAGTTCTAAATGGAAAACAGCTTGTTTCTGATGAAGGACACCTTATAAGAATTGTTCCCAGTTTCCACTACAGCTGATGACAATTGAATTAGGAGATGACTCTTGATTTAGTTTGAAAAGGTATTCAAGAAAATGAAGCTTAATTTCTTGTACATACTTTATCAGTCGCTGTAATAATTGCCAGGAAAGCTTTTGGATCCTGGAACAGGTAAAGAGTTTTTGGCCTGTACATCTTTCCTGGATCTTCTTTTGGGGGTACGTCTTTCCTGGATCTTCAGGATGTACCTATGAAATTCTTCTTTACCTATCCGATCTTCAAATGGAACACTATGCTTAAATGCTTCCTGATCTTCCATAAAGAAAATAACTCATCTCCAATAATCAACTGTGGGCTGCTGCTCTCCACAGACACCATCAATCTCTCCAACCCTATAAATCTATATCTACCTCTGTAATTTCTAATCCAATTCATAGCTAGATATTTATTACAGTTCTGATTGAAGGAGCTAATTGACAAAAACAGTTGTTGCTTTTGCTGAGAGTCTGATTCTTATCTAAAGGATCCCATTATAGCACCCTTCACGAGAGCATTGTTTCACTTATACTGTGGATTGTCTATTATGGTAGGATGACCATATTTTGTAAACCAAATCCGGGGTATAGAAAAACTGAACTCACCACAATTCCCGAGGCTGGCAGTACTGGAGAAGCTTGTTGAGTTAATGGCTGTATTTCTCTGATGAATGTATCTGTTTTAGAATAGTATTGTTCTTGTTCAGTTTGTTGTGATCAGGGACACAATACCTCAACTGTCCCCAGAAATCTGGGTAGTATGGTCACCCTAACTATGCAGTTGAGTGTGGTGCACCTAACTTCTGGCACTGACTAACTGGCTTCCTGTGCCAAAAAATATCCAGTTTACAGGTCAAGTCCTGTAGCTCAGTGGTTAGAGCACTCGCTTTGCAAGTGAGAGACCTGAGTTCAATTCCAGGCAGAGGGCGAAACCTTGGGCAAGTTTCCTTACTCCACACAGAGCCTAATAATAATACTTCAAAAACCCAAAACAATAATAAATTGGTCATTTTCAATCTACGACTGTTTGTGGGACATTGCTGTGCGCAATTGGCTGCTGCGTTTGCCCACAAATATACAGTCAATTCACTTTACAGTGTGTTCTGTGAAGCGCTTTGGGACGTCCTCCCGACGTGAAAAGCGCTATATCAAATGCAAGGATTATTAAGTCGCTCCTGATGTGAAACCTGGTAGTTAACTGTTCACTTACAGTGCAGTCTGTGAGATGGTGAACCCAGATCAACACACTTCCCAATAACTGTGGGGCAAGGAAAAACATCTCCTCATCTCCAATCTTACTTGAAGTTTCTTATAAGCTTTTATGGAAAGAGTATGGAAAGAGTTCTTTTTGTTCAAATATTTCCACCAAAAAATTTCCTCAAAAATTTGTACATTACCTGTAGCGAAAAGTCTCCTCTTCATTGCTTAGGAGCTCCCTGTTTAGATGCTAAGTTTTTCCGTTAGGCGCTCTATATATTTTAATGATGGTATTTTGGGATTGTGTAGGAGATGATCTGGAGGTTAAACCGAAAATAAAGCATGAGGCACTGAGGCACTCTTCTGTAATGCAGGACCTGCACTGTACTTTGAACAGAAATACTCCTTTTAGGTTTCCTTCCCCTTTCAGCTTCTTTGAAAATCTCATGCGGAACTTTCATCAAATGCCTTTGGAAGCCTAAATAAATCATATACATTGGATCACTGTCCTCCATCAATTTAGTTACCTCCTCAAAGAATTCTGTAGATTAATAAGGCATGGCTTACTACTCTTCATGTTGACAATTGTTATGGCTTCTGTTTTCTGTAGATGACCATTGATAATAAGCCGTATAATGTTGTTAAGTATTTTCCACTACAGATGGTCAGCTAACTAATCTGTAATTTCTAAGTTCACATTTGATTCCTTTATGAATATTGTGGTAATATTTGCTACCCTCCAACTTTATCTGATCCAGTCTGATCTATTTTATTTTTATTTCCTTGAGAATTCTTAGACGGAACCCATTTTATTTCAGAGCACAGGGTTTAGTTTTATATCCTTAATGCCTCTTGACAAGTTCAAAACTCTAATACATGTGCGGGCACTTACAAAGGGGAAATGTATGGACATTAATTTATGTTTTTAATTTAATTTGGGGATTTGGAATACCGAGATTGCATTTGCAAAGTCTGAAATTAAAATACTGAACACATGAATGAGAAAAGTTTCAGAGAATGACAAGCAATTAATATTTATTCTGTATTCTCTACTGGATTAATTCACTCTCTCTCTCTCTTTCTCTCTATCTCTCTCTCTCGCCCCTCCTCGCCACTTGCCTAGTCATACAAGAACTCAGAATATGTAAAATTTAAGACAACAAGATACTTACCTAAGTCACCTTTCCAAATAGCAGATGTTAACTGAAGAAATGTGATCTAACATTAATACGCCAATGCCACGATAGACATTTTGTTTATTCGGGTCCCTAGCTACATATGCACTATACTGCTTTTTTAGGAGAGATTATTAAATTAATCAATTGGATTTTTTTCCTGAATATCTGTTATTTTCTAAATTCATTTGAAGGGTTCTTCACTGTCTACTTTTGCTCTGCGCCACCTTTTGTTGCTTTATTTTGCCATTTTCTGAAGTTTGATATTTAGTTAACGTAGTAAGTGACACCAAAAGGAGATATTTTGCTTTTATAGTGTTGGATCCTCTAGATCTAGAACATATAACAATGAGAAAGATGAGTTAAATATCATTTGAGTGATACTTTGGATGTATACATACTATTTATTGTATTGTTTCTTGATTATTCAAGTATTCATTATTGTCTTAAGGCTTAAGTTACTGAAGAACATACATCACTGATTTTGGGCTAATAAGTCAACTGGCTGAGGCAGTGGATAACTGTGAGAATTCATGACATACAGCCCTTGATATATTAATGGATTGTTGGGCAAATCCTGTAAATCCATGGAGTTAGAGACTTTTTGGCAACAAAGCTGTCAGTGAATAACCAATTATACAGGGTGACGAAGAACGCGTGATACCATTACAGTGTCTAATAAGTCTTAAGGAAATGATGATTTTCTTAATAGGGTAGATATCATGACTTTTTGGTCACCCTGTATTTGAAGTATAAGAAAAGTTAATTTATCATTCATTTTTTCATTGCCCACCTATTTCCTTTGTTTTTAAAAAAAGACATGATTAATTTTGTTCTGGTTGATCTATTTCCAATGATCTTTCTAATTGAGTTCATACACTTGCAGTCTGTGAATCGGTATTCATGCAATGAACATGTCAGTGACAATTCATTTTAAGTGGAATTATATAAGAGCAAAATATTGACATGATACATGAAAAATGAAGTGTGACAGTCACCTTGGTAAAGCAGTTACGTATGAAACAGTTCAATCTATTGCAAATATGACTGTAATTTCTTTTCCCATGTTGAATAATGAACTGTCACTGCTCACATTTTACCATTTACTTCATCCAGTGAATTTCAAACAGCCTTACATGTTTGTGAGCAAGTGTTTTTATTATTGAAAGTGCAAAACTAATTATGGAAAACATTTTTTTCAGTCATGAGAACAAAATATCCACTGTGGAGATTTAGGCATATACTTCGCTTTAAATTTGATTCATTCTGGGGAATGAATGTCATGTGGAATTGAATGTAAAGATGAAAATCCACAAACAAAAGCTATTTGAAGGATAAAGGCTTCACAGTGTTGAAATACGTTTTTACCTTTGTTCATTTCATATCTGATTTTTGGAGCAGTTTTAATCTAAACTTTGATAATCTGAACTACTTGCCTATAAAATACAGTCACTACACTTTACAGTAAATCCTGTGAAGGGCTTTGGGATGTCAAAGTTGCTAAATAACATGTAAGGATTATCATTCTTCCACTAAATTAATATTAGTAGTGACAGTCAGTTGTTATTGTGAGAGCAGATTTCAATAGAGTACTTATAACAGTGCTGCTCCTTCCTCATTTTCAGTATTTATCTAATTCTCTTTATAAAAAATTCACAACCATCTTCTGTTAAAAAAATTCTAACCTCACATTAATTTTAAGTGCGATTACACTGTTATAAATTTGTGCCCTCTCCACACGGGTTTGCTGACGAGTTTATTTAGAGTGAAGAAAATAAATACAATTTTCTTTTGTATTTGCTTGTTTATAATAATCAAATGAAGAAAGTGCCTTTCACTCAATCCATGTAAAACTGCTCACAAGCACTTAATAAACACGAAAACTAGATATATAGCTTCACGGGCCTCAAAGGCTCACGGGAAACCATTAGATAGGGGTGGTTCTGGGCGTCTACAGCCAGACAGATGTCCTACTAAATCAGCCCACAGTACGTCTCAGACTTTATTATTCTGAGGATTTGTGGTTGGCTGATGGTTGTAACCCATTGGGTCATTGGTCATTGAACCTGACATTGAACGATAGGGTTGCGTTTACTT